GACGTACGAACTATAATAAACATTGTGTGGTTGTCTGTATTTTCTGACGTACGAACTATAATAAACATTGTGTGGTTGTCTGTATTTTCTAATGTATGAACTATAGTAATATTTTGATAAATCTTCTTAGCTATCTGTAGTATATTATCTGTAATATTCTGATAAGTCTTCTTATCTATCTGTAGTATATTATCTGTAACATTTTGATAAATCTTCTTATCTATCTGTAGTATATCATCTGTAATATTCTTGTAAGTTTTCTACCAACCAGCAGTGTATTATTTATAATATTAATTTTATCCATCTGTGCTTACTCTTTATTGAGGTTTTGAGCAAATACTCATTAATCAGTGTAGAGAATAATTTAATTTTTAAACCTAATAATCACAACGATAGCTGGTTAAATCTTCTGGTCTTGTTCTAGGTTTTCCAGCAAGAATTTACATGTGGACACGATTTCGTTTTGAACAACAAGGAAGTGACGTTCAGTTATTCTGTCGCAGTTCTGGTCTACCCGAACCGGAAGTGACATGGTCACGTGGTGATGACAGCAAACCTCTTGAAAATGACAAGAAACACATCGTAAGCGTTTGTGATTCCAAACAAAATAATGACGAGGTTCATTTTGTTTGTTTGTAGTTAACGGCAAAGTTACACAATATGCTATCTGTGCTATGTCCACCATGGATATCGAAACCCCGTTTCCAGCGTTGTAAGTCCGCAGACATAGAACTGTGTTACTGGAGGGGGCAAATGAGGTCGAAGGTCAATTAAAACAATTGAGACTTCTACTCCCAAATATATTCCCTGTATATAAACAAACTAACTAACATAGAAAAAGAAAACTTTTGAAACAGTTTGTTTGTTGGAAGATAAGCACAAAACTACACAATGGGTTATCTGTGATCTGTCCACCAAGGGTATCGAAACCCAACTTTTAGCATTAAATCCCCTCCGGGACTTTTCAGTGCTGAAGATGAGTAAAAAAAATAATAAGGAAAATCTATCTTTCTAAAGCTCTAGAATTAGCGGTTTTCTTTCTTTGTGGTTTAGTTTATTATGATTTTACGCGAGTGCTTATTATCACGTACTTACCTTTTTTTCTGTTGCATGAAGTTAATATGTATGAAACTTTATTTGTCACGTTTAGAATACTATTTATCTTTAATTAGCTATGATGAGATTCCATATTTTATTATTAAAATGCTAGTAATTAATTACATTAAATATAAGATTCAATGCTAAAATTTAATTATATAATAGCCCCCAGTGGTTCAGCGCTAAGTGTGAAAGCTTATAACACTAAGATTCGAGTTTCGATATCCGTGGTGGGCAGAACACAAATAGCCCATTATGTAGCTTTGCAGTTAACAACAAAAAACTGTATGTTGTGCAAACGATGCAGGGCCATCTATTTGTCATTTCGAAAATAATATCTATAGGTATATTTGGGCTTTCAAGAGTTTTTGTGGTGCGCCCGAGATGCCGAATCATAAGCAAGTGATATTTATCTAAGGGGAACCTGTATGAATCTAATTAAGTTTATCTTCCTGAAAACCTGTATGTTTCCAGCCAAGTTTATCTTCCTGGAAACCTGAATGTTTTCAGCCAAGTTTATCTTCCTGGAAACCTGTATGTTTTCAGCCAAGTTTATCTTCCTGAAAACATGTATGTTTCCAGCCAAGCTTACCTTCATGAAAACCTGTATGTTTCTAGCCAAGCTTACCTTCATGAAAACCTGTTTGTTTCCAGCCAAGCTTACCTTCATGAAAACCTGTATATTTACAGCCAAGTTTACCTTCATGAAAACCTGTATGTTTTCAGTCAAGTTTATCTTCATGAAAACCTGTATGTTTCCAGCCAAGCTTACCTTCATGAAAACCTGTATGTTTCCAGCCAAGCTTACCTTCATGAAAACCTGTATTTTACTTCTATTTTGAGTTTATATATTACTAACGAGCAGAGATTTTGTTAAAGTTAGATTCGCTCAACCTTTGTACGCTTAAATTAAAATTTCAGAAACTTGTATTATGGTATATCACGACCTTGTTTCTTTTTTCATTTTTAGGGATGGTTTTTCAGCGAGGTGTCATAACACAAAAAAATATCAGTATAACAAAATGCAGTATTGATTCGTTTACCAAAGTTATTCACAATAGTTAAACATAGATGAAATATCATTTATTTTGTATTTTATTTTTGAGAAACACCCTACCAACTGTACCCACAACTTTAATCCACGTTTTAAATATTTTTTTTGATATTGATATTCAGGTTAAAAATATATGCTTTCGTCTGTGACATTGTAGGTGCTGGATAATGGAGATTTACTGATACGAAGCATCAGGTGGGAAGACATAGGTATCTACACCTGTACTGTTCAGAATGCCCTCGGGTCAGATACGACCTTGACATTTCTGTACCCAGTAAAGGTAAGGTTATGCAGAGGCAGAAATAATCACGTACCTTACCTACTTGATAATATAGCTCGTCTTGTTGTCTGGCCCAAAGTTGTCTTTATAATCGATTTTGGTGAAGAGAGAAACAAAAAACAAAAACAAAAAAAAAACATTTACTCTAAGACTCAGTCTTGAAACAAATACCTTGAAACTGGGCCTATTTAACAAAATCATATAATATGGACACAAATATTGTTCATGTTCTTTATAATTTACACATAAAATGCAGAATACTTAAAGTTGAACATGAGAAGGCTTATACTTATTTTTCTCGCTACATTATACATAAGAAGGTACATACATTGTTACTACGTCAGTTAATTAGGAAAAAATATAGCTCATTAATAACCTTTAGGGTTCTATATTGATGAAGATTGGAGATGATAACTGAGAAATGTACTACCAGGTGGTATATAATTTACCATTTGAAAGATTTAGTTTCGTACTATCTGAAACAGCTTGACTGTTGAATAATTTAAAATAATTTTATTTAGTAGTACCAACGTTACTTATTCTTTAAATTCTACAGAAAAAAACTTTATAGGATAGTTTATCGTTACTTACGATTCAAAAATGAATATGATCTCTGAGTCAGATTGTAGGAATACGTATCTCATGTGTGGTTATTGCTGACTAAACTATAGGTTTGATCACTGAGTCATATTGTAGGGATGCGTATCCTTGTGTGGTCAGCAACGTCATCAGCTATTGCTGACTAAATAGTGGGTTTGGTCACTGAGTCAGACTGTAGGGATACGTTTCCCACTTATGGTTAGAAAAAGTTGTCAGTTATTGCTGACTAAATAGTGGGTTTTGCCACGGAGTGAGACTGTGGGGATACATATCCCGTGTGTTGTTAGCAATGTTGTCAGTTATTGCTGACTAAATAGTGAGTTTGTTCACTGAGTCCGACTGTATGGATGCATATCTCGTGTGTTTAGCAAAGTTGTCAGTTACTGCTGACTAAACAGTGGGTTTTGCCACGGAGTGAGACTGTGGGGATACATATCTCGTGTGGTTAGCAAAGTTGTCAGTTAATGCTGACTAAATAGTGAGTTTGTTCACTGAGTCCGACTGTATGGATACTTATCTTGTGTAGTTAGTAAGGTTGTTAGTTAATGCTAACTAAATAGTGGGTTTGGTCACTGAGTCAGACTGTAGGGATACATATGTATCTCGTGTGGTTAGTAAGGTTGTTAGTTAATGATAACTAAATAGTGGGTTTGGTCATTGAGTCAGACTGTGTGGATACATATCTCGTGTGGTTAGCAATGTTGTCAGTTAATGTTGACTAAGTAGTGAGTTTGGTCATTGAGTCCGACTGTATGGATACATATCTCGTGTGGTTAGCAATGTTGTTAGTTAATGTTGACTAAATAGTGAGTTTGGTCATTGAGTCAGGCTGTAGGGATACATATCTCGTGTGGTTAGCAATGTTGTCAGTTAATGTTGACTAAATAGTGAGTTTGGTCATTGAGTCAGACTGTATGGATACATATCTCGTGTGGTTAGCAATGTTGTCAGTTAATGGTGACTAAATAGTGGGTTTTGCCACGGAGTGAGACTGTGGGGATACATGTCTCGTGTGGTTAGTAAGGTTGTTAGTTAATGTTGACTAAATAGTGAGTTTGGTCATTGAGTCCGACTGTATGGATACATATCTCGTGTGGTTAGCAATGTTGTCAGTTAATGTTGACTAAATAGTGGGGTTTGTTCACTGAGTCAGACTGTATGGATACATATCTCGTGTGGTTAGCAATGTTGTCAGTTAATGGTGACTAAATAGTGGGTTTTGCCACGGAGTGAGACTGTGGGGATACATATCTCGTGTGGTTAGTAAGGTTGTTAGTTAATGCTGACTAAATAGTGAGTTTGTTCACTGAGTCCGACTGTATGGATATTTATCTTGTGTGGTTAGTAAGGTTGTTAGTTAATGCTAACTAAATAGTGGATTTGGGCATTGAGGCAGACTGTGTGGATACATATATATCGTGTGGTTAGCAATGTTGTCAGTTAATGTTGACTAAATAGTGGGTTTGTTCACTGAGTCCGACTGTATGGATACATATATCGTGTGGTTTGATGTCTGATTCTTGATTATGGGAGTGAATATCTTCACGACTTTAATAACACTGATAAATGTATGTAAATACAGACACTGTCAATGATTTCGTGGAATCCTCGGATATTTTCATGCAGTGACCAGCAGAGAAATCCTCAGTGAACTAAGAATGCACGTGTTTGTAGAACTTCTCAGCTGTTCAACACCTATCTCTTCACAGTGATTAATTGCATATGTATTTGATCTGGAGGAATTTCGATATTACATATGAGCAGATACTCACTTTAACGCAATGATTTTTTCACATCATATTTTTTTGTTATTGAAACTTGTCATGAAAAACATAATAGTTAAAAAACTGATTCTAATTGGTTTTTTTTTAACAGTTTTGTCTCTACTTAACCAAGAAGAGAATGGCAAAATAGTAAGTTGTACATTGTAAATTTTTTCAATAAAAATTTTTTTTATTTCTTCCCATGTAGCCCTAGAACAGGATTTACAAGAAAACCTACACCGTTTTTTTTCAGAAGTCTTGAAAAACGCGTTCTTTGTGACCCGACGTAATCTTTGTTAAATAAATATCGGACATTTAAATGTCAGTGTAATCATTAAAAACATATTATTTTGTATATATTCGTTGAACCATTTTCCTGAGTTACGTATTAAAAATAATCGTGTCATCATAGGTGTGGCAGCACATTATTACATCTGTCGCACCAATGCTTCTTTTTGTGCTGTTTCTTTCCTTTGTAGATACCCTTTCTTTAAATTAGGAAATTATGTGCAGTTGCTTTTATATTTATTGTAAATATTGGAAAAACCATTATGTATTGCTGTTTATGTTCCCTTAAGAAACGACATTAAAATTTGTACAAAGTCGTCTGATACGATGTCGTATTTCCTTTCTTAAAGAAGGCACAGATATTGTAATAATGTTCCAAGTTTGCTTTAGGAAAAAAAATCTTTGGGGTAGAAACAAAACTGGGTTCTAATTTCATAAGTTTAGTCCATTTTGTATACACCACATTATATAGGAAAGTGTTTTGTTTTGTACAAAATTAAACAAAGAGCTATACAGTGGGCTATCTGTGCTGTGCCCACAACGGGTATCGAAACCAGATTTCTAGCTTTATAAAACTTTAGACTTACCGATGTGTTCGGGAGAATAAGGGCAATTTTTTTGCGGGAAATAAGTATCATAAATATTCTGCCATAAACCTATTTGTCGCATTTATCAATTCACAAAAGAAGTTACTTATAATACTCAAAGACTGTACTTTTGGAATTTATGTATCATGTTAACAAGTATCTTTTTTAAAATGTTTCTGAGATAAAGCTTTTCTAAAAGATGCAAACCGACCATAGGATGCAAACTGTATTCAAACAAACCGACTGCTAATTTTTAGTTACTTGTTTCAACAAACCAGGTGATCCAAGTTAAATTCTAACACCTATGACATTGTTTATAGTATATACACTAAGAATTAAATATATTTTTTTCATATTAACAGGTAATCCTAAAACTGCTTGAGAAGTAAAACTTGAACAATAATACTACCTACGTTCAACAAAAGTAAAACGTCAACAATATTACTAACATTACTAGCACGTCTAACACAAGTAAAACTAGAACAACAATACTACCTATGTCCAACACAAGTAAACTTCAATAACAATACTACCAACGTCTTCCAAAAGTAAACTAGAAGAACAATACTACCTACGTACAACACAAATAAAACTTAAACAACAAAACTACCTACGTCCAACACAAGTAAAACTTGAACAACAATACTACCTACGTCCAACACAAGTAAACTTGAATAACAATACTATCTACGTCCAACGTAAGTAAAACTAGAACAACAATACTACCTACGTCCAACGTAAGTAAAACTAGAACAACAATACTACCTACGTCCAACGTAAGTAAAACTAGAACAACAATACTACCTATGTCCAACACAATTAAAACTTGAACAACAATACTACATACGTCCAACGTAAGTAAAACTTGAACAACAATACTACATACGTCCAACACAAGTACAACTTGAATAACAATACTACCAA